AATCGTACTTGAGACACGGGACAAAGTGAGGTCATTTAAATCAAAAGCTAGTTCTCATATTCAAGATTTGATAGTGTTGGAGCTGGAATTTTTTAAATTTGGCTCTCCATATTTATAAGGCATTGATACACTTATAGAAATTTCCCTCAGACGCGCTTGTCACATTTATTCAAATCTTCTGCAAGTATTATAATGGATTTTCGTATGTATGTGTGTTGATACGTATGTATGGGTTCACAATGTTTTTCTTAACTGAGGAAAGTAAAATCAAATAACAGAATTGGTATATGATCACAATACAATTTGAAATGTTCTCTTCTCAATACACAAACACTTGTTTGAAATACAGACTAACTCGTAATGAAAATATTTCAGAAATAAAAAAGTTTATATACTAATTCTATTCATGACAAAAAATTATTAAGAATTCATTCACATTCTATTGAATAAGCAATTTTATTTTAATGACTTTATATTTTCTTTATGTATATATTAACGCCATTCTTGTAGTACAGTGTGCTTCATTTAAATAACTTTGAAATAAAAATGCATCTTCTGTCGCTTGTTCTCTTACCTATAACCTCTTAACTTTCTTCCTGAATTCTGTATTTATGTTGTTCTTAAAGTATGCTCGGCATTAATTAAGTTTGAAATAAAAATGCTTCTTCTATCTCTAGTTCTCTTACCTCTTAACTGTAACTTCTTAACTTTCTCTCTCTCTCTCTGCATTCGATAATTTGGTGTAATGAAACTTCTTTATATAAGAAAAACACTTTCTGATGGGACGGATATCCTGCTAGTGACAACGTTCCGACGTTGACTTCTCAACGACACTGTTCTTGGTTGTCGAATTTCCTTTTCCTTGTTTGACTTCACATTTTATCTCTTTGGTATGAAACATACATTTTTATTCTATAATTAATATCTCAATATTCAAAGGATATGACCCTCAATAAATCGATGATAAAATGTCGGTGTTTTTATATATCCATCAATGTGGATGTCGCATACCTACTTCAGCAGAATAGTCTCACTGGTATACACTGCTAATCGTTTGGTCTGGTTCATTTTGCGGAGGCAGAACAAGCAGACGTGTGTTTGACTACATAATGTGTTTAAACTTTAGTGAGTTTGAGAAAGATCCTGAAGTTAAAGAAACAACACAATATTTATTTTTTATTCGGGCACATTCTCTGTTTAGCTGATGGCTCCTTCGTTGAGGCAAACTTAGAATCGCTTACTCCAGCGCCGGCTGCAAAAATTCAATAGCCGATCTACTAGCACAAATCGAATTGACCCGACTAATCTGCCCTAGAACCAAACGAACTTCATCCAAATGAATGCTTTGTTAGAAGTTCTTTGCCCGATCGACAACTATAAGAATTCGCCAACATTTCTCGGTGTCTTCGACTGAGACTGCGAATTGCATCGTAGTAAAATTCAAAGTTTGTAACTACATTCAGGATTCAATAATAATTTCACTCTGTCGTAGCACAATGTTACGTTT